GGGATAGACTAGCCAAGAATGACTTTCACAGGCTGAGAGGTTTCTACAGCGGAGGGTCTCGAACCTGAATGGACATCAGCATGCGCTGGTGCCAGCCTTCCCGGCGGCCAGCTGACGGTGATCATGGCCAGGTCAGCACCTGTGCTGCCTGGCACCGCACTGGACAAAAGTACTCAGATCTTCTCATGACGTGGTTTCAAAGGTTCATGACCAGGGGAAACTGTTCAGCATTCAAATGTTACATACAACGCAGAGAACAATGTTTCCAGTATAAAAGCCTGGGATCCCAAATCCACAGACATCTCAAAAAAATCATAAGACCAATTCCTTTACCTACTAACATAACCAGCTACCTTAGGAAGATTCCAAACAAGGTGGTGTTTACTTATTATACATGTTTGCCATTTTTATGTGAAATATAGTAAATGTAAGATTCCGTTCTAGCTCCTTCCCCTTCTCACTCCTCTTTCCCACAACGTGTTCTAATCTCCGACAAGGCCCCTTCCTCTGTGGGTCCTCCTGACGGCCTGTTCCGGACACGTACAGTCTGAGCATAGATCTGAATGAACCTCCTTCAGCGGCTCACAGAGGTCAGCGTTATTTCGGGGGCGTCCTGGCCCCTGTCCAGGCCGAGCCCTAAGGCTACAGGGACGAGAATGCATTCTCCCCAAACCCTCTTCCTCACGCCTGCAACTGGACCTCTATTCCGTTTCAGACAGGATGACCTTATACTAGCGATCCTTTAAAAAAATCACGGACCCCTTTATGAATCTAAGGAAAGCCATGCACTATCTCCCCAGAAAGCTGAGGGCACGCGTGTGCTGCATGCCCGTGTGCTCAGTCCCAAACAATGTTTCCAGGCTGAACGGTTCTGCGTAACCGGCCTTGGTGGGGATTAGCTGGTTTTGTAATATCGCGGTGGGTATCGCTGTCCTCATTTCCTTTGCAGAACGAGAACACGCTAACCACAGTGAAAAAACACTGCGCGTCGGTTGTACTTACTACATCCTTGCCTATGAAAGCAAACACGCCCGTGGTCACTTCAGCGGCAAATATCACCAGCAGGCAGGTGAAGAACTGCAACAGGAAGACACGAACCTCACTCATTCAGTGATTTTTCAATGGGGCTAGCTCCTTTGATTCTAGTTGCCCTTGAAAACCGTTAGGATTTAGATGATTACTTTGAATTGACCTAGCAGGAAGCATTTGCTCCTTAGTGTCCTTGTATATAGTTCATTCATTCGATTGTCACGCATTCATTCATGGAGCAATTGTTTATTGAGCATTTATTCTGTGCCAGGCACTGTCCTTGGTGCTGGGTGTGCAGTTGGTGCATAACTAAGATCCTCCTGCCGCTGCTCTCATGGGCTTCACATGAGAAAGGAGAAGATCTGATACATGAGTAAAGCAATAACAGCTGAGCCAGATAATGTCAGACAGCGATACAGAAATCCCACCACCTGCGCAGTGAGCACCTGGCGGACAAAAGAGGTTCCGTAAGAACAGGAGAGGTGGAGAGAGGGACTGGGGGGCCCCCTTCGGGGAAGGTGTGACCTGAGGCTGCAGTTTGGAAGCTTCTTTGCGGAGGTGGCAGTGGAGGTGGGCATGCCCTGGACAGGTTTCTGTTCCCGTCTGTTGCGTCTGCTCTGATCGAACTAAGCTCAGTGATGCACAGGACAGAGAGATGCCCGGCAGGAGAGAGAGAGGATGGAGGGCAAGGCAGTGACTTAGACATTTTACTTGGCAAACATGGCGGCTGCAATAGCAGGCACAGGCGGCCTGGCCCACCTGCCGTGCCTGACGCCGTGCGGGAAACACACACTCCTCCTGCCTCCGGCTGGCGCTGCTGCAGACAGTTCGCAGCAATTATTCCGTTTGGAAGACGCGGGCTGCCGGTTAAAACCAGCCGCCAGAGGGGTGTCTGGGGAGGCACTGCTCTCTGAGGCAATGCTTTTCCTGGAGGTAACAGCCTTCCCGGCCCTCGGAGCCTGTTGCTGCCTCACTTGCTATGAAACAGTGTTTTTTTTTTTTTTTTTAAGAACAATCATAATTGCCCCTTTTAATTACCAGACACTTTCCTCCCCAAACATCTGCACACTGATGACCTCACTTCCCCTCCCCCAGACTTTCCACCGAGTCCCGGACACAGATAATATTGTTCTCATGCAGCGACGAGGACCGGCCCGGGGCGCGGGGTGACTGCCAAGGTCCCGCAGGCCAGGCCAGGGGAAGAGCTGGCTCGGAGGCCGGACGGGGGGCTCCCCGCAGATCAGTTCCCTCCCGCGCCCCCCCGCGCCCACTTACCGATCCGAGCACGCACTGCGACTCCCGCAAGGCCCCGCAGCAGCCGCAGAAGCCCACGGCCATCATCAGCGCCCCGGCTCCCACCAGCACGTAGAGCCCTGTGGGGAGAGGGGGCGCTGACCCTGGCACCGCTGCTCGGGGCTGCGGGCAGGGAGGGCGCTGCCGTTAGCGAAGTGACCCTGGTGGGAGCTGGCTGCCTCTCACCTGCCTGATGTAGCCGCAAGGACCTTGAGAGACAGGTGCCTACTGCCCCCCAGGAGCAAAGAGAGCCGAGCTCACCGAGGGGAGGGACCTGCTGGCCAGGAGGGGGAGCTGGGTGTGCCATCTCCACTGCCCTGCTCTCCATCACCCACAGGCCTCCTGTGCCAGGCACCCCTCCTCTCCCATCCCCATCAGCCCAGAGAGGGGCGTCGCTGCCATGGGTGTGACAGGGATGACGTCGAGTCAGAAGCTGTCAGGAGTCAGCACCAGAGTGGGGGCCCTAGCCACCCCGCCTGGGAGCCCCTCGCTGCTCAGGGGACCCTGGGAGTGATGCTGTCCCCGTCTCCCGAGGGCCTGAGGACCCGGAGGTGGGAGGGAGGGGGCTGAGGCCTGCCCGGGCACAGAGGGGAGGCGGGGAGAGGATGGGCACAAGGAGAGGAGGGAGGACACAGCGAGAAGGCAACAGGTTCTGTGTGAACTTTGAACTATGGAGGGGAACACCGTGGCCGCTGGCCTGGGGGAGGCTGTTACAGGAACCGCCGCTGAGGAGGGAACAATGCTGCTGCTAACACTGGTCACGCTCGCTGCCTTCACTAGGGCCTTTCCTGCACACCTCGCACGGATGTATTCATGAATCTTCACGAAGCAGGTACCATTACTAGCTCCATTTTCTTTAGACTGAGGAACTGGGCTGCAGAAGGTTAAGCACTTTGCCCGAGACCATGGAGCTGGGGTAACACACCGCCTCGTCCCCCCCCCCCCCTCCGCGCATGGAACCCCACTGCGGGCGCAGGCGGCCTTCTCACCGGGAGAGCGGGGCCGGGAGGTCCGCGCTGGGAGGGCGGAGCCAAGCCCTTTATTTCCTCCCTGATCCCGAGATAAGTGGGAACACCATGCGAGGCCTGGCACCGGACTCCTCAGAAAAGGCATCGCCCGCTGCTATGTTTTTGCATTTTACTCAGATGAGTCACCTGGAGCCACTCCCGTTCGCAGCCAGGGCGGGAGCGGGGGCCACACCCAGGGGAGCCCTGAGCCCGGCCTGCGGGGTCCCCGGGCCCCTCTGGGCGCTGACGGTCTGTCCCCGAACTCCCTGCCCGCTCCTCCTCCTCCTTCTCCTCCTCCTCCTCCTCCTCCTCCTCCTCCTCCTCCTCCTCCCTCTGAAGGAGGGACTGCGTGGGGAATGGATCTGATAATGAGGGAAATGCTTCCATATTTAAATGCCAGTAATACTACAGCTGGTCCCACTGCCAAAGCACCTTACTGTTTTTAAAAATTGGAGCTTCAGGGCTCTTTCGTTTCTATCACTTCATGGGCTCCTCACAGCGCCCATAGGGAAAGGACATTTCCCTTTTACTCCTGGGGGTCCGGGGAGCCGGAGGGCTCGGGCAGACACCCAGGCCTGGGGAGCCCCCCCCTCCCCCCCACAGGCTTCGGCAGCCACACGCCGAGTCGGTTTCCTCCCAGAACGTCTCCTGGGCGGACCCCCCCCCCCCCATTGTGTCCGCTTCCTGCTCACACCGCTCTGGGCCCCCGGCCCCCGCCCCTCCCCGCCCTTATCCACCTCACACCCCAGCCACATGGGACTCGCTGGCTCTGACCCCACCTGCTCCCGTCCCGTCCATTCTGGGCATTTGCAGGTTCTCACAGGTGTCTTTCCCTCACTCCTCTGACCTAGAACGCGCCTCGCACACGGCAGAGGCCCCCGGCCGGCCGCGTGGCTGGGGGCGAAGATCCGGAGAGCGAGCCGAGCTGAAGGCCTCGCTGGCCGCCGGCCGCCGCTCAGTGCGGCGAGACACAGGCTGGGAAGGCATCTCGGCGGGCGTCCACGTCCCCGCTGGGCTCTGCCAAGGCCGAGTGGCTGAGGACGTGGCCGCGGACCTGAGGAAAGGCCCCAGGGCAGGAGCCAGCCCCCGGGAGACCAGCCGGCTCGGACCCCGGGCGGAGGCCTTGCCTTCCGAAAGCGCGAGCTCCCGAGAGAACGTGCCGGTCTGTACAACACCCCGTCCTTGGGGCGCGGGGGTCCCAGGCTCCCAGCAAAGCAGCCCAGGCCCGCGGCCTCTCCTCGGCGCACCCGTGCAGCCTGGCCCAGCACCAGGAGCTGCGGCTGGAGCGGAGGAACTCAGCCGTGGCAGGTGCCCGGCCGCCAAATGCAGCTCCCGATCTGGGTGTTAACAGTGAGCCCGCCCGTGGCTCCGGGCCACCCCCTCCTCCTCTGATCTGGCTCCAGAAACAGCCGTGGAATGAACACGTTCATCGTCACGTTTTAATTCCAAGATGGTCGCTGCAGGGCCTCTCCCTCCCCAGCGGCCTGTGTGACGGTCTGACCTACTTCCCAGCTCCCCAGCCTGCCCGGGGCCTGCCTCCTGGGCTCGGGAAGGGGAGAAGCCGCGTGGAAGCGGCGTTTGTGGCCCCGCGACGCCATGATCCCCCGGTGACCTGCTGCCGGGAGTGCCCTGGCCACACCCTCGCTGGCTTCTTAGGTTCCAGATTCTTCTCTCCGGTGAACACGGAGAGGAGACACAGCGCCCTCCTCAGAGCCCCGTCTGCGTCCATCCGCTGGCCTTACACTGCCCCCCCCCCATCACCCCGATCCCCTTAGGGCCTGGATGGTGGCGGCACGGTCATCGATGGCAGTGGCCTGTGGCAGCAGGTGGCTCTCATACCCGGCAAAGGACGATTTTTCATCTAAAAATATTTTTCTCTGCCTCTGCAGCTCTCCTCCCTCTCTCCCGGCGTGCCCTGGACGCACACGATTACAGGCGTGTCTGGAATATGGGGACTCGGTTCATGGGGAAGGCGAGGTCTTGGGGTCTCTCTCAGGAACAGCAGCCGCCAGCTATTGATCACTGTTCCAACGTGTCATCCAGCCTCTGCCCAGAGCCTGGGAGGACAAGCAGCGACGTCCGTCAGCCACTCGCCCGTGCTGACCACCCGGCGCCTGACCCCTCCGTCATCCTTCCGTCTCCTGTTCTCTCATGCGTCCGCAGGCTGGCTCTCTCCTCAGCCTTCCCTCCTTCCAGTAAACAGAGCAACTATTTGTTCGGGGCTTATGACAAGTCAGGCATTAGACCTGGGAAGTCACCGCTCCCTCTGCCTGTGAAGTGTTTACGTCGCACAGCGCAGGCGTCTGAGAGGCAGAGGAGTGAGTGGCTGCCCTCTGAGGGCATAGCCGGCGAGGGGCAGCCTGGCCTCTGCCGGGGCCCAGCTCCGAGGGGCCCGCCTGAACCTCTGCCAACAGGAACTCGGCACGGGGACTCTTGGCTGGAAGTCCGTTATTGTCGCCTGTGTAAGTGCAGGGGGGCCCTTTTCTTCTTTCTTGCGAAAAGTAAGGTGGGGGCTGCTCTAGGTTATTGGTGGGTTTTCCTGAAAAAGCACGGAGCTGGGGCCAGCGACCAGGGCTGCCCACCGGCTCCCGGTTCCTCGGCTTGGGGACCTGCACCGTGGCCACAGGGACCCGCTCTCTCGGGTGAAGACGCTTTGGAGAAAGTGTCTCCATCCACCGCGTCAGCGACAGCCCAGCTCTGCTAGGCAGCTTCCAGGAATCTTGGGTACAACGGAGAACCCAGAGGTGGAAAAAACACACACACCGAAACCCGACCGAGTGAGTCAGTGTCTGCAAGGCAGCCAGCCCTCAGCAGGCAGCCTGGAACGCCGGCTCCCGGCGGATTCCACAGGGAGTGGCCGCCCTGACCCCCCGGCTGCTGCTGGTGTGGGCACCTCCGAGCAGCCCACCTGTGAGCGTCCTCCACTCAGACATGGCTCCACGTGCTCCAGCACACAGTCTGGCTGCAGGGCCTGCTCCCCGGGAGAATCCTGGGCCCTGAGGGGTCTGTCCCTCTGAGGGGCAGCCCCAGACCCAGTCTAACAGGCAGCCAGAGGGGCAGGGGCGGGATCTGGAAGGCTGAGGGGCTCCCCCCGACCCCCACCAGTTCCCTGAAAGACGAAGTGGAGAGAGCCTAGGAAACACCAGGTCACTCTGGCCGTCCCTGCCGCCAGCTCCACTTGTGCCAGCTCCTTCCTCCACGCTGGCACCGGTGGACATGGGCACCGGGGCCGGCTGCCAGGCCTGGGCCTGGGCTCAGAGGGCCTTGGGAAGAGGCAGCGGCGGCAGGCGGTCTGCCTCCCTCCCTGTCCTCATTCCCTCGGGCCCTGGGGCACTCCGCTCGGCTGGGCCCCGGCAGCCAGGTCTCCTCCGGATCTTTATCCCCAGAGAGGGCCTTTCTCTCCGTCACCGGGGAGGAAGGACCGCGGATCCCAGGGACAGAAGCTCCCCCCAAAGATGGAAGGATTTCTCCTCCTGTGCAGGGCGGCCACCCGCCCGGAGGCAGGGAGCTGGACCCCGTGTCCTCCCGAGGCCTCTCTGGCCTAGAGGGACTCGGGCTGGGAGGCCCCGTTTCCCTAAGAGCCACTTGGCCGTGCCAGGCCCGTCCCAAACACTCAGCAGCGGGGTGATAAGAGCTTAATGGGCGGCTGTCCTGGCACCCGCTCTGAAAGGAAAACAGACCAGGGCCCTGTGGCCTGGAGGGTTTTCCAGAGCTGGCCTGCTTCTCCACAGCCCTGCGGCCTCACGCTCTGCACATGGCGCCCTGCATGGTTTCCTGCTCCTTCACTGCGGAGAGCGGGGGACTCTCCTGTGTGGAAATGATTTACTGAGGACGGACATCATGATTCCTAGGAACATGTGCGTTGCTCAGTGGATTCACATCAGCAGCAGTATTTGGAGCGGGGACAAGGCCCCTGGTGTCATAGGAACGGGGGCAGGCCTGGCTGTGGTGTCCCCCCCGCCATTCACACCCCCTGAAGAGCTGGAGAACCGTGGCCACTGCCAGCCCTGCCGCCTGCTCGCTGGCCCTGGGCTTCCGTGCTCAGCTGGGGCAGATGCTGTGGGAACCCAGCTCCCCGAGCCTCCGGCACTGACCGCAGGGGTCTCCACGCCGGCAGCCGCTCCGGGCTGGCTCGGGGAGGGGAGGCGCGGCTGCCGAGGGAGCCGGCAGACCCCCTCCGGCCCCGGCCGCCAGGAACAGCCCGAGGGATCCCGGCCCTGCAGGGTGGCCGCTGCACCCGCCCAGAGTTCACTCCCAACCTCCGGGGAGGGTGGCTGGGCTTCCGCCCACAGCCCGTCCCGACCGGCGCCCCCCGGTCGGGCCTGGGAAGGGGCCCAAGGCCGCCGAGGAGAGGGGGCTCGGGACGTGGCCTTCCGTGGCCAGGGCGGCTCAGGAGGCGTCCCCGGAGCTGCGGGCGGCCGCTTGGTTGTCCCCGGGGGTGGGAGGGGGGGGACCTGCCCGGGCAGAGCCGAAGGGAAGCAGAGCTAAGAGCCGGCTCAGACTGGATTCTGTTCCGTCCGTGTGGCCCCGGGGCCCGTGCTGACCCCGATTCTGTTAGGTGGGGCGAGAGGCGTCTGCTTCGCTCGTGTCTGGGATTCGCGTGAAGAGCCCTAAAGACATGGCCGCAGAGATGTGCCGTGTCTGCCTCTCAGCAGCCGCGTTGCTTTAGGTTGGGAAACACGACGAGAATGTTTGCAAGGAGCTCGTTGACCTTCCCGCTCAGCTCCTTGCATCCATCTCCGATGGGTACCCGCCCCATTCCGACCGGCCGCGGAGTGGAGGCGAGGGCACGGCCCGGAGGAGTCTGCCGCCGCTCCTGCTCATCACCACGGGAGGGGCTTTCTCGGCTCATCACCACGGGAGGGGCTTTCTCGGCTCATCACCACGGGAGGGGCTTTCTCGGGTGGCCCCGCACCTGCGCCTGCGGCATCGCGGCGAGCTCTCTGCTTCTGGAGCGGACAGAGCGAGGCTGCCCCGGGCTGACACAGATGCCCCCCCCTTCACACACCCACCCTCCCCGGCGAAGCAGGGCCCCTCAGTCTAAGGTGACCAGATCGTCCAGGTGTTGGCGGGACAGTCCTGATTTCTAACAATTTCTCCCGCGTCCCCTTTTTGGAAAGACTGGAAACATTGGAAAGATTCTTTCCAAAAACCGGGACTTTTTTTAAAACACCGCGGGACACAGGAAAAATTGTTAGAAATCAGGACTGTCCCGCCTACACCTGGACGATCTGGTCACCTTAGTCCTGGAACCCAGGTTCCCAACTAAAAGCCATGACTGACTCCGGGCCTTCTCTCTATGACTGGGATCATTTGTTGTTTTGATTCCTTCTGTCCCTGAATGTAATGATGCTTGATAATGTCCTACGTAATAAAAGGCTAATATGCAACGTCACCAAAGGGTGGAGAGCCTGTCACTGTGACGCCCCCTGACCACCAGGGGGCAGACGCTCGGCACAGGAGCTGCCCCGGGTGGTCAGTGCGCTCCCACAGGGGGGCGCCACCCAGCCAGAAGCTGGGCTCATGGCGGCAGCACTAAGGACCCCTCAGTCCTGGAGGGCGAGAGGCCGGGCTGGGCCCCCTCCCCGATCCAGGGCACGAATGGCGTGCACCGGCCTCTGGTTGTTTGATGATGCTTAGTCACGTTTGATATTGTTTATTGTTTTCTGTTTCTTTCTTCACAATTCCTACTGCAACCATCATGGGTTTTGCCCTTATGCCTGACTGTATCAACCATCTTTTTCTTTCCTTTTATTGACTGTATTGGGGTGGCACTGGTTAATAAACTTCATAGGTTTCAAGTGTTCAATCCTATAACACACCACCTGCATATTGTGTTGTGTGTTCACCACCTCAAGCCTCCTTCCATCACTTTCTACCTCCTTCTCTCTCTCTACTCAATCTAGCTCGTTCTTTCCTGGCATGTGACTCTCATTCCATTGCTGCCCGAAGAATCTCTAACATGGCAGTGAGGTCAGACCTCCCCCGACCCTCAATTAGTCTTCCCCACCCCACCAGATTCACTGGCCGGGCACTCACAGCCCTCTGTCCTTCCTCCGTCCCTCCCCCACGTCTGCAATCTCACCTCCCGCCACACCCCACTGAGCCTCCCTCTCTCCCCTCCCCGCATTCTGCATCCCCAGACACAGAGGGACTGACACAGCACCCAAACCCTGTCCACAGCTGCCTCTTCCTTTTGCACCCTGTTCTCCTCACGGGCCACTTCGAACATAAGACCGCAGAGCAGAGCCCTGACCTTGCAGACGGCCGAGTGAGGAGGGACGGTGGGCGCCCACGCCCCCTGGGGCCGCGGGGCGTTTGGAAATCTCTGGGGAATGAACTGCAGTTACATCCTGGGCTTCTCTCCGGAAGCGGCTGAGAGAGTGCCTGGCCGGTCCCCCGGGTCCCCCTGGGTGTGGGGAATCGGAGGGCGAACCCTGCGAGGAAGGCCCCCTCCTGGCCGTGCTGCCCCGCAGGCCCGGCCTCTCCCTCCTCTTCCTTCCCGGAGGCCGGCGGCTGCCTGGGCCCGGGGGCAGCCCCGGCCACGGCTCGGGGGGACATCACTCACCCACGTAGAAGTGCTCCGGGGACTTGTCCCCCGACGGCAGGTCCTTCATGGAGCCCCCGAACCGGAACCACAGTCCAAAGGCGATGACGGCCGACCCCGCCAGCTGGAAGGCAAGCAGGGAGCTTTAATTTTTTATTTTATTTTTTAAAAACATATTTCATTGATTTTTTACAGAAAGGGAGAGGGATAGAGGATTAGAAACATCGATGAGAGAGAAACATCGACCAGCTGCCTCCTGCACACCCCCTACTGGGGATGTGCCCGCAACCAAGGTACATGCCCTTGACCGGAATCGAATCTGAGACCCTTCAGTCGGCAGGCCAACGCTCTATCCACTGAGCCAAACCGGTTTTGGCATAGTTTTTTATTTTTATTTTTAATGGTATAAAGTTTTACATAAGTCTCCTTTTCCCCCAATTGACTCCCCACCCCAAACCATTCCCACCCCGGGCAAGCCCCGGCTTTATAAATAAAGTGAGGGAGCCCTGACCGGTGTGGCTCAGTGGACAGAGCGTCGGCCTGCAGACTGAAGGGTCCTGGGTTCGATTCCAGTCAAGGGCATGTGCCTTGGTGGCAGGCACATCCCCAGAGGTGGGGTGTGCAGGAGGCAGCTGATCGACGTTTCTCTCTCATCCATGTTTCTAATTTTCGTTCCTCCCTTCCTCTCTGTAAAAGAATCAATAAAATATTTAAAAAATAAGGTGAGGGAAGTGCGTGCACAGGAGCGGCGGCAGCCCAGGGGCTGGGGGCCTCGTCCTTCCCGTCTGCCCCAGGAGGTGCCAGGAGGCGCTCAGAGCCGGGCCCGAGGTGGCGCTGGGGCTGGACTCCCCCGTTCGGCAGGCCGCCCCAGGCCATGGGCACACCCAGCCTGGGCAGCCGGAGGCGGCTCAGCAAGAACTTTCCAGTCCCGGCCCAGGAAGGCCCTGGCGCCCTGCCCCTCGTCCCCCCGTCCCTTAAGGGCACTTGGCCCCTCCTGACCAGCCCCCACACACAGACGCCGGTCCCCGAGGGCAGGATGAACTCGGACCCGGGGAACCCGCTCTCTCATCTGGAAGCGAACACACCGCCCACACCTGCCCCTCCCCGCGGTGCCCGGCGCCCGGTGCCCGGGGAGAAGGCTGACTCAGAGACCCGGACCCCTCCCCTGGGGCCTCCGGTCACTGCCCCGCAGGCAGGGAGGGAGCCTGGCCGGTTTTTTTGGGGGTTTTTTTGGTTGCTATTTTGAGTTTCCATGGAAAGTGAGGAAGGAGAAAATAATTTCTGAAAAAGCAGGGTCTGTGCGCCGTGCGGCTCATGGAGAGGCTGAGTGGCGGCTGGCGGCTGGCAGGGTCACTGCCGGCCCCGAGGCCACCCCCGGGGCCTCCTGAGGCCCCCCCGGAGCTGGGGTCCTGTCCGCCTCCAGTGCCCGCCACACCGTCCGCAAGCCCATCGGACCGGTCCCTCCACAGCCGTTCCTGGCACCTTCGGTCTCCAGGCCCCGGGAGGCAGGGGGGAGGGCAAGGGGGAGGGCAAGGGGGCCGAGGTGTGAAAGGGGCCCCTCACCCTGCCAGCCCCTCCGTTGGCGCTGGGCTGCCCGGCCTCTCACCCAGGGGCAGGGGAGAGGCTGCCCCGCCCCCACGGCGAGGCAGGAGAACGTGGTCCGCGAGGCCGAGCGTTAACAGAAGTAATATCCAAGTCAGGGGCCCTTCCAGCTGGGGCTGTGTAAGCCTGGCCTCCCCTGGGGCCAGCTGCTGGGTGTCAGCTGAGGACCCTTCCTTCCCGCTCTGTCCCCTCCAGGCCCGCCCTGTCCCTCCAGGCCCGCTCCCCCGTGGCCTGTCCTCCTAGTGGCGGGACCTCAGGAGGAGGAGCCGCGGCCGGACCAGCTGGAGCCTGAGTTTCCAGGCTGCGGGAGCACTGACCGAGGATGGGAGGGACGGCCCAGGCGCTGGGCCCCACCAGCTTGGGGGATTTTATTTGTCAAAAGGGAAACACCGCACGGGAGAATACGGAAAGAAACCACGCTAACACATGAGCAGCATTTATCTTTGAAGGTGGGACTTTTCGCCGTCTTTCCCACGTCTCCTGCCCTGAGCACCTAGAACGCTCCCAAGCGTTCAAACACTGTGGCTTTTAGACGTGCAATGTGGTAGCTTGTTCCCTCAGGACGAGCGGGGCGAGTTTCCCCAGGCCGGCTTCAGTTTTAGAAAGCTAGCTTCCAGGTCACTGCTGTCTCAGGGGGGAGAGGGGGAGGGAGAGGGAGGGAGAGGGAGAGGGAGAGAGAGGGAGGGAAGGAGAGGGAGGGAGGGAGAGGGAGAGGGAGAGAGAGGGAGGGAGGGAGAGGGAGGGAGAGGGAGAGGGAGAGGGAGAGAGAGGGAGGGAGAGGGGGAGAGAGACAGAGAGAGAGAGAGGGAGAGAGAGGGAGGCAGGCCCTTGGGAAGCCTCGTCTGGGAGCACCCAGACCGAGGGCATAGCAGAGCCTTGAGGCCCCCTGTCCCCGCCTCCCTGGGGACTCGGCGGAAAGAGTCTCCAAACACGGGTGAGAGCTATTGACAGAGGCGCCGGGCCAGGCCGCAGCCCCCGGCAGACGCGGGGGAGGCCGGCCAGGGACACCCGCCGCGGCCGCAGCCTGGCCTCTCCTGGCTCTAAGTCACGGCGTCCGGCCCGGCCCCTGGAAGGCATCGTCCGCGCTGGTGCAGATGGAAAATGAAAAGAGCGGTTGCAGTTTAAAGCCGGGGCAGGGAGGAATGTCTGCTCTCTGCCACCCACGCCCCCGGCCCCGAACCACACGGGTTTCCTCCTGAGTCACGGAAACTGCGGCTTCGCCAGTGTCGTCACCGCGGAGGGAACCCCGCCCGCGGGGCCACGGGAGGCCCGGCCAGGCCGGGCTGCTGCCACACGGCCCCGCCCGGGAGAGCGGCATCGCCAGAGACCGTGTGGCCCAAAGGGCCTTCCAGACCCCCGCTCCTGGCAGGCTCTGGAATGACCGTGCTCGCTGGGCTGGGCAGCTCTACTGGAAACTGCCTGGAAAAAAAAAAATAATCGCCGAAACAGGTGTGGCTCAGTGGATAGAGCGTCGGCCTGCGGACTGAAGGGTCTCGGGTTCCATTCCATTCAAGGGCATGTACCTTGGTTGCGGGCACATCCCCAGTGGGGGGTGTGCAGGAGGCAGCTGGTCGATGTTTCTCTCTCATCGATGTTTCTGACTCTCTAACCCTCTCTTTTTCTCTGTAAAAAATCAATACAATATATTTTTAAAAAATCACGCCGAGTCTAATCCAGCCAGGAACAGCGACAAGTCCACTGCCAGGAGCCCGTCGCTGGAGGAGGAGGTTCATGGGGTGCCGGAGCCTGCGGCCCCCACGAACCCTAGTGTTAACCTTCCCAGATCAGAGCCCCAGGCCACTCACACCTCCTCTCCTGCCAGGCTCACTCCCACCCCCCAATGTCAGAACCAATGAGGCGCCGGAGGCCACCGCCTGGGTCCCATCCTTCTGTCCCGGTGGAGCGTCTCCCCTCCCTCCCGCCCCGCTGTCTGCTGGGGGCCGCTGTGGTCCCACGGGCGGCGCTAGGTGTGGGGGAAGCTGATGGAGAGGACAGGACCCATCTAACAGGGAAGGGGGCCGCATTCTGCAGCTCCAGAGCCACGTGAGGCTCTTTGGGGTCCTGTCCCCAGCTCTACCTCGCCTGGTCCCGATGCCGAGAATCCAGTGTTTCAGCAGAACTCAGGTTAGACCCGGACAAGCCCCCGCCCCTGATTTATTAAAACGTTAGCGTGGATCCAGTGGAAATCACGGAAGTCTAGTGTGCTGTTCCAGAGAGATTTTTCCTAACAGCAGCTTTCCCAGAAACCACTGTGGGCATGAAGGTGGGAGGGCCGGGCCAGTTACAGGGGCCTGGACAGACGGGCGGACACGCAGGGGAGCCCGGGGCTTCCTGGGTGAGTGAGCAGCTCCAGGGCCCCGCCCTGCCCCCAGCGGGCCCGTCTCCCCCTGACTCTCCGGTTCACAGCTGCCTGTCTCCACCGCCACGCCGACGGCAGGGGGGGGGGGGGGCTGGGCACGCTCTCTGGGACATTTGCCAACTGGTCGTCTAGAAAGTCTGCTGCGTCTGCGTGGTCACACTTATAAAGCATCTTCACAAGCACCGAGCTGTGGCGTGCAGCAGCCGGAGGGATGAGCACGGGGCTCTGCGTCCACCTACGGTCCCGCCGGGCTCTGCCGTTCACCGTGATCCTGGGCGAGTCTCTTCCCCTCTCTCCCCCTCCGCCTCCTCGACGGCAAAGGGAAGGGAAGAAGCTCGCCCCCCACCAGAGTGAGTGAGTTCCCGTCACAGACGCAGAGCGGGGAGGCCTGGCACTTGGGCTTATGATGAGGGAGGCTTGCTCATGTTACCCTCACACCGAAACGTGAGCCGACTCCAGGGACGAGTCACCAGTCCCAGGATTCCAACAACCGGCCCCGCCGCCTTCCCCTGCGGATTCTGAAGCTCGCTCTGCCCTCTTCCCATGCCACACGGGACTCCCCGAGCTCCCCAAACCGCCCGGCTGTGCCAGGGCCCCTCTCTCTTTGGTTGTAGTATTTATAAGACCCAGGAAAAGAAAGACAGGGCAAGTAATTTATGGAAGAACAACTATATGTAGGCAGGAGCTATCGGACAGAACTTCCTCCAACGATACAGACAGACACAGTGCTCTCCCTCCGCGCTGCCCAGGACTGCAGCCACTGCCCACCTACGGCTACTGAGCGCTCGGAATGTGGCTGTTGTGGTTTAGGAGCTGAATATTAGATTCCTTTTCCTGCTAATAAACCTGCCGGCCTCGTGTGATCGGGAGCAGAGTCAGCCTATGGGGCAGTGCGGGCCTGGAACGGCGTGCTCATCGAGGCTTCGCGCTCCCTCCCGTCCCTGCGGCCGGGGAGCGGTGACCACCACCGCGCCTGGGCCACACGCAGCAGCCGGGCCTGACTGGCTGGGTCCGAGCCCCCGAGCCAGTCTCCCTGACTTGTCACATGTAAACTGGGGTGACAGCTGAGGGCCCCTGGGAGGATTAACTATACAACGTGTAAAGCCACCAGCCCACAACGTACATGAACATAATAGCAACTCTTCTCCTGCCAACGTGTCGCT